AGCACCTTCTTGCAGTTAGAGATGGATTGCCTTTTAAGCTTGGGAGGGCCTGTGTTAGAGACATAAGGAAAGCTGAAAGCCATCCCCCATCCCATTGCGGGGTGTCTGGATTTTGTTTCTTACTGCTAGACCTTAGTGCAAAGTATGTGACTGAGGTGGTTATATTTGCTAACCCAGCTGGGGAAGGGGCAGTGCTGCAGTGTGACTATCATTTTCCCAGTGAGGCTTGGCAGCTTGGATTTGTCAGTGTGTTTCAGTTCATGGTTGCAGGGCAGCCCTGGAACTTGCTCCTGTTTTTCAGTTTGGGGTCAAAGATGTTTGGGTTCAGGAATTTCAAGGAGTTTGCCTGGCATAAATGGGAAAATAATTGAATAAAACACTCCTTAATTGTAAACCACTCATACTAAATGAGCAGAACAGCTACAGGGTAGCTTGTTTATTTTCTTCTGGAGGTTCTGACATCCATCTGTTGAGTAGCAGTTTAGGACTATTGGAGAGCTGCTGACCCAAAGGCTGGTATGTTCCTTGGTCTACTAACAGATGAAGTATCCTGTTACACCAGCAGGCTGGGACAAATTGCTGATAAAATTCATTAGCAAAAAATCAGTATTTATCAGGAAATCACTGTAATTCTTTTTTTTCTAGTTCTGGGTAGCACTGGAGTGTGTTTGTGAAGGAGAGAAGACAATTAAGTGACTGTTCTTTCTCTCTCTAAAAATAGCACAGTCCTTTGTAATGGGTTTTTCAGAATGATTTGTGATTGTGATAAAGGGACTGAACATTCTCCGTGTCTCACTTTGTATCTCCAGTGACTTTCCCTCATGAGGCAAAGGGTAGGGGGAGGAGAACATACATATCATGTCACCATAGGGGAAGTTGTGCATATCCTCCAGAGAAACTGATATCTGAAGGAACTGCAAACGTATGCAGCAAAACTCTACGTGAACAAGACCCCCCTGAACCTAACTTCTCTGGGGCCAAAATAGCTGCCAAAGGGGAATTTGTGACTTGTCTTTTACCATTTTCTTTGAGTGGGTAAAAAGGAAGCCCATTAACAAAGATGAGTGCTTGCTGTCAAACTGGAACCATTACAGTATTTTCCCATTAGGGAACTTCCCCCTGAGCAGGGAATATATTTAAATCCTCCAATCACAGAAGCTTTTTTCTTTTTTCAGTTTATTAAATTCAGTGCAACATGGAGCTCTTCCTCATCAAGGTGGAAATTAAAGGTTATTATCTTCAGGTAGGAGCAAGACAAGTTATTAGCCCAGTTTCATGAGACTGCCATAGCCATTACATGCACCCCTCAAAATGTGGCAAAGTGCACTTATTGTGGGTCAGTTTCTGGGGTGCTGGGCTTTAAGGAGTGTGTCAGGAGTCCTTTCAACAAGCTTGCTCAGGATGCATTATTAAGAGCTTTTTATAGCAATTCAAACGTTAACTCTCCTCTGAGCCTTTCCTCCTGTGCATTGGCCATGTCCAGTGAGAGAGAGGAACTGCACGTGTCTCTGACAGGTTTGATTCTCCTGAAGATTTCCAAAGTGATACAGAAGAGATTCTGCTCACAAGCCAGAGCAAATTGGCTGGGGAGGGAAATGTTTCTACAGTAACAAGGAAAATACTATCTTGAGAATGGCACAGAAGGCTTTTTCTGTTTGACCTTGTCTTGACTGGGAAGATAGTTTGTGGTTAAAGCATGTTACTGTTTTTCAATGCTCTTCACTCCTAGCATCTTCAGAAGTGCTGGGTGGTTGTGGCCTGTCATTTACTTAGTCTTAGGACCCATTCTCCCTCATTTGGCCTTGTTTGCTTGAAGTGGTAAACAGTCAAATAGTGCAAATACTCTGTTTTGGGGCGAGATCTGATATCTATATGATGGATCATCTACATAACTTGTCTTGCTGAGGTAGGTGACTGGGCTGTACTCTGTAGGAGTACTTGCAAAGTGTTAACCTGACTGGAACTTTGCCCTTCTCACATTTAGAAATAAAAATTACAATTTTGGGCTTCACTTAAAAACCAAAAAAACCCAAACGTTAAAACCACATTTGGGCTTTAGACTAGCTCCTCTTTCCTATTCTCCTTCAAAGCAAGAATTCCACAGCCCAAATGCAGAGACTGTAAGAATGGTAAACACAGACTACATGACTGATAAAGAAACTGGAATTATACTGTTTTGAGAAAACACCCATTCCTCCACTGGCAGCCCTTGCCTCTTTGAGAACAGTTTGGGGGTGGGGTTTTCTTGATTTGATTGTACTCTGTTCACCTAGTATTTTGAGAACAGAGGCCTAGTATTCTCAAAGCTGATGCAGCTAATGGCACTTTGAGAGTTTATTTCATACTGGACTGTTGAGCTTCTGTCTCATTCCTAAACATGTGCATACACTATTTCATACAACCCTTAGTTTGCAAACCTTATTTTTGGGAGACTGGTCAGTGTGCAAATAGCACTATTATATTTCCCTCAATATCTGAGGGATTTCCTTGCTGTATTTGTCCTGTTTGATTTAAAGAGCTGTCAGACTTGGAGAGCAGCAGCAAGTACAGCTTCCTTCCTCTAGAAGAATGCAGCAGGGAGCCAGTCTTCTGTCTCCCTTAGTCAGTGTAGGAAAAAGAGCTCTAGCTGCCTCTGTGCTGTTGCCTTCTGCAGCAAACAGCCTAGCTGAACTCAAGAGTGTGAGTGAATGCTGGCTCCATTGCTTGTTGCTGGGTAGATGGCAATGAACACTAAGCAAACCAGACTAATGGAAGAGCATGTGCTGCCTGCCCAAGAACTGATGCTTCTGTAAGATGTAGCACCAAAGAGTTAATGTGCCTTTTTGCATGGAAGCTTCCTGTGTGTTGCTTGAGCTCATGGGGACTTTCATGGTTACATGACAGAAGTGATAGGAAAGGCCTCCAATCTTTCTGTCAGTGTCTGTCAAGCTCTGTTGTGGAGGTACCAGGGTAGTAAATAGCTGAGATGATGAAACTTAGCCAGCAAAATGTTTTATCAAAAGGGCTATATGTTTTTGATACTCTTGAGGTTTCCTCTGCTTCAAGCTGTGAAGTGGAAAGATACAGGCTTTTTGACCCGTGTCATGTGTTGAAAGGCTTTCCAAACTGTATTTACAATACAGCCTTAACCTTTGATCCTTCTTTTCCTCTCCTTCCATCTTCCTTGCAAGTGCTCCACCTAAGTTAAAACATGTTTTCAGCAGTGCCTTGATGCATTCCAGTACTTTTACTCTTCTACTTTGCTCGTGCAAGTGTGTAATTCCTGAAATTTGAACAGGCTAATTCAGTCTTCAATTTGTGCTGTTTCCTAAAAGGCAAAGATCACCAGTTGGTCTCTACAACTGCAGCAGGTGTGAACATCACTCCTTTTTGACATGAACTAAAAGTCAGTGCTAGTGAAAGCATCTTCATAAAAGGATTGGATTGCAGGAGAGGGGATAGCAAATAGAAGTGTAGGCCTGAGCCATACTTGTTCTCTTCCTATCTAAATTCCTGGAGGAACAGAAAGTACTTTGATCTCTCACTGTACAATTTACTGTTTCCACAAAGAAATAAATCAATATAACTTTACAGGTATCAGCTGCCCATCACTCCCTTTCCAACCACACAGCAAGACCTTACATCCTGTTACAAGCTACATACTCCCCTGTCCTTATTTTCTCTCCTCTACTTGCCTCAAGTCATTCATTCCATTAGAACAGCCAGAAACCCTTACTATTAGGTCAGAAGCAGAGGTATTAAAAACTGTAGGTAACTCAGTCTGCAGCACAAAAGAAAGAGTCTAAGATGTTAACTCTTATTCTCCAAGTGTGAGCTGTGGCTTACTGAGCATATGAAGGGCATTTTTGAGTAGTATAAATTATTCAGAACTGCTGGAGGGAGAAAAGAAGAAACAACCTTGTTCAGAGGGTGTGAATTTTGCCTGCCTGGAGCATCCTGTATCTTTGCTTTGCTCAAATAGCCTTATGTATGAAGCACTTTATCCAAATGCAGGAATTAAACTATTACTACAGCTGTTAGACTGGAAATGTTTACAGATCCTATATTACATTCCAAGATTCTATCTGTGTTATATGTGTTTGTAAAAGTGTTAAAAAAAACCCAACAAAACAAAATGACACAACAAAACTTGTGTAAGAAGTTACATATGTGATGTTATTTCTAGCACAGTTTGATGAAGCTTTTGCTGACCAGCACCCTGAGTTGGGCTGACCCGAATGCTGAACAGGTCACAGGTGGCAAAGCCTGCAGCCATGGCTGATGGCACTTTGCAACATGGATTTGCTGAAAATTGGTTTTGTTCAGTATGGTTTTTACCTGAAGTGCCAAAAATAGTTCAAGTTCATGGCAGGAGCTGTGAGAGTGAAAGCAGGGCTTGGACAGTGTCATACATCCACCTCTGCCTTTTGTATTTTTAACTCCTGTAACCTAAAACTACCTTCACCTGGAGAATTCTAAAGGGATCACTATCTAATTATTTCAAAAGGCTTTCACAGCACTGGTCAAGCTTCACCTTGTCCCAGGAAGTAACACTGAATGGGGAACTGTATAGAAACTGGCATAGACAAGGTACCTAATGGATTCTGCTGCATCACGGTCCGCTTAATGTTTCTGTGAAAAGAAGCCTGCAGGGCCCTTAAAACAGTCCAGAAGATGTTTACAGCAGAACAACACATGCTTTTACTAAAAAATATTTTTAATGTTTTACTAGCCACAAGGGAAGAGCTAAAAGAATTAGCCACCTGCAATAATACAAACTTTTTAATAGTTGTGGTCATGCAACCACTAACGTATACCACAGCCAGGGACTTCACAGCATGGAAAAATCTTGTTACTTCTGTTTCTTCTCTAAGAAACTCCCTTATTTTCCTTTGTTTCTAGTGACCTGGCAAATGAGCCTCCTTTGCTGGAGGGTTGAGAAAGGAGAACCTTCTACGTAGTACTGATGGTGTTCTTGCCCAAAGTGGGCAGCAGCACGTGGGTTGAATGCTTCCGTTTTCTTAAACTTCCTCCACTTCTTTCAGAGTGTGTTCCAGGATAGTGTCTTGTCCCTGGAACTTAAAATAGCCACGAAACAACTTTTTCTGAAGCAGAAGTGGGAACCAATAGATATCATCTGCCCACATGTGATTGAATGGCACCTCATCCAGCTGGAACCACTGTGGACGCATTTCTGGTGAGAGAAAACAGAAGAACTTTCCATTAAACTTTCTCTTGTTTTTTTGCTGCCTAGACTTTGAGTACCTGTCAACAAGCAGCTTCCCTCTACAGCCCAGCTGCCTCCCTTCACAGAGGGATTTTGGCACGAATAGTTCTGTATTTAAGAGCAATATAATCTCAGAAGAGAATGTACATCCTTCCTTCCTCTCCACTAGCTACCTACCATCGCTTTCCGTTGGCTCTCCATGAAAGTCATCTGCCCGGAAAATGTGAACTTCCATGAGTTCAGGGTTGCCTACAAATTCAAATGTGATATGACCCATCTTCTGCAAGGTGTCCACAGTCAGTCCACTCTCCTCCAGGAGCTCCCTGCAGAAGAAATAGACTTTACATGAAAGTGAGCAGTGGGAGAACAAAAAAACAGGCATTGGCTTTACTTGTGCATTCAAAACAGAGGGAACTAAAGGTGAAAGAACAGAGCAGGGTGCAGCAGAGTTCTGGCTTGCACCAAACTATTGGCCTACTTACATCACAGGGGAGCCAGACCTGCTTGTGTGTTATTTCAAGCTCCTTTAGGCTGGAATGAAAATCCTTTATGTTGGAAGGAGAAAATTCAGGAAAATTGATTGTTTACTATAATTTACATTCCTTGCAACATGATGATCTTTCATGAGATTGGTTAGAAGTGGGCTAAGGCTCTCGTGTTCAGACTGTAGCCAGGGGAAGCATAAGAACTCCAAGATACACTTTACTTAGGCAAAAAGCTTTGCCAACTTCAGGGGAAAGTTTTGAGAATACAAGAACATCTGTACTCGCTGCAGTATCAGTTACTGCTGAGGTGCTACAGTGTATTTAAGGAGTGTTACTAAGTAACACTACTTCCATGCAGAACATTAGGAATACCATCTCCCCTCAAATGCTTTACAAAAAGCACGAAGCAATTGTGTAAACTTTGCATTTCTGCTCCTTGGAAGTATGTTCAGCATAACAAGAGGTTGGAAGGCAAGACTTATAAGAGCACTTTGGGAGACTCACCAGGCAGCTCTTTTCTGTGCATCCCCCTGCACAGCTGCTTGAAGCACATTCAATTACTTGCTCTTTTTATGCTACAGACTTAGACTTTTTTTATTTTTTACCTGCCTCTAACAGAACGAGCATTCCTTTAAGTTAGCCATGTTTTTTCTAATGTACAAAAATAGGAAATACTTTGAAACCGTGTCTCTTCAGTTAAGGTTAATAATTAATGCAGTTGCAATTTGGCACTAACTTAACAATTTTAAAATGTAATGCAAATGATCTTTAAGGCTCCAGCTTCCTTTGGCATCAATTTAATTACTTCCATCCTTCAAAATTACATTACAATTTAATGTCTTAGCTAATTGTAGTTTATCTTCCTGAGAAATTATGCCTAAAATAGAGGCAGTTTTCCAGCAACAAAGCTAAAAGCCTCATTTTACAGGCTGAGATAACTGACCAAAAAAGCTCTACACTGCCCTGGTTCTCCAAGCAATTTATCTGTCAGCTGTCTGGCTCTGTATATAGTAAGAGGAAACATTACAGACAGCAAACTAGAAACAATGAACTAGCTAAATGCTGTGAGATGTGCCTGTGAAGAGCCATGGGTGCCCAGGTGCTCCATAGGAATGTGGCGTTCCCAGTGGAATATAGAAATCTTACTAACACAGGAAACTTGTTCATGTTCCAGCTTAATATTTAACTGTGTGGTGAGGACACTTCACACCTTATGCCAGTGCAAATCCCACTCAGACAACACAACGGGGAGACACATTTTGATAGGTCAACTCTGAATACAGAGCAGAGGTGGGGCAAGGGGTTTGATTTGGACTGTGACACCACCTGGAGGGGAGCTGCACCCCGAGGCAGGGCTGCAATGGTGTTGTTCCCAACCAGGAAAGCAGGCTGCTTGCCTGGCTCTCCCTGTCTCTGGGCACTGCCTCCTGCTTAGCTGGCCTTGGCAGGAATCGGGTGAAGCTGCAAGAAGTTCCTACCAGGAACATGGAAAGGCCTGAGGATGAGACTGTTCCACAATCCACAGCAGCAGGTGCTGGCTGTGCTGTGATACACTGAAGATGTTGAAACCTTCACCACTTGACATCTCATGTGAGCTAAAGCTCTGGTTTCTAGCTCTGGACTGGCACAGATAAACACCCACCAAGGAAATCAAACGCCAAATTCAATAATTTGCTTCACACCACAGTCAGTGGCAATGTGAGCCTAGCAAATGCAGGCCTGACTTAAGGAATAAAACTGATTTCCTTCCTTCCACTTAGAGATGATACATGAAAAGCCACGAGGCAAGCATCAGGTATGGTAATGCTGTGCCCTGCTGGGTGCACAACTGCTCAGAGGGCTCTTCTGTCCCCCGGGTTAGCTCACCACAGAACCCCGGCAGTTGCACTGACACGGCTGAGAAGGCACTTCAGGATAAAATATGTTAGACAGCTGTTAAACACACCAGCACTGAACTTCCTGCAGGTGTGAGGGCAATTTAGTGCATATAACAGAAAGTGAGGAGGTGGCAAAGTGTGACTTTGTACCAGCAACATTCATGGAAAGAATGAGGTACCTAATTTTTAGGGGAGATGGCGTTTCAGCTGCTTTTTGATTTTAATGAGTAGACAAAAGAAAAAACTTCACAAAATCAGTACAAAAAGCTTAAAAAATGCTACTGCACCTCTACAGCGATGGAATTTAATTCCCTAACTCAGGATTAGGGCTTTTATTTGACTGACTATGCAGTCAAATTAATTTCTACAGTGCTTTTCATAAGGGACCTCTGAGATTTTTCTCTTATTTTGTCACCAGATTTTCACCCAGGACTGAAAATGTAATGGAAGGCAGCACCTGTCCAATAGCTTTAACATTTAAAACGTAAGCAGCACGCTGTTGTAATGTTAGACAGCCAGCATTAAATTTCTCACCTTTCTGCACAGGGCAAGAACGGCAGCTCCACCTGCAGCCCACCACAAACGGTTTGATTCCTCCACCGCCCACCCCGTGCCCCGACCCTGTCCCCAGGGCAGGGGCTGTGCCGGGCCTGCCCTCACCTGCGAGCAGCCTCCTCGATGCTCTCCCCCGCCTGCACTTTGCCCCCGAAGCCGTTCCAGAGACCGACGCCGAACCCGCGTTTTTTCATGCCCAGGAGGACGCGGGATGGCTGCAGCACCAGGACCAGGGTGTACAGCCTGGAAGTGCACATGGTTCCTGGGTGACAGACGAGGACACACTGCACCAAGGGCTCCGGGAGCCCCTCAAGAGAGGAGCCCCGGCTGCTTCCCGGCCCGGGGGGTGTTGGACAAAACCCGGACTTGCTGCTCAGGTCCAGGCAGCCCCGATGCCCCCGCGACACAAACCACCTCCTCCCAAAAGGCCTGGTCCCCACCATCCCCAGCCCAAACCCTCGCTCTCCTGCTCCCCCAGCACCCCCCTCTCCCAAACCTCTGTCCCCCACGATCCCCTCGCCCAAATCCTTGACCCCCTACAACCCTTCCCCAAATACCTAAGCCCCCCCAGCAGCGCCATCCCCCGAGCCAGGCCCCCTTGCTCCCCGAGCACCTGTA